AAATCCAAATTTTAAAGTATGAAATCATATACCATGGCTCAACCAGGAAACTAGTATCCATAAGGTTAATTTCCATCAACTCAAAATAATATCACAAGATTGTAATAGAGAACTTACCAAATTTAAATTTAAAAATTTAAAACATAAGCAGAAGCATGAACTCTTAACTTAATCGATTTAGTTGGAACCAAAAGCTTAATTTCAATTCAACCAAATGAGATGGAGATTAAATTGCGAAGAACAATTTCATACCTTTCCGGAGAGAATTTGTAATGAAAAATGCCGAATAGAGCCAAAAGCCGCCGGAAAAATATTTGCATCTCAAGCTTATGTTAATCAGTTGAACCTCTAACCAAGAACCATTGAGCAAACACTCACATGGTTCATCCAAAATAAAATCAATCATCAATTTATCTGTCAAGTCGTTTAGTGATAGATAAATGATACTGATTCCTAAAGTTTTACTTCATTTGTTGAAGTCTGGTACTCCTTCTACTTGATGCCATTCTGCAAGCATTTCAGTTTTGATGCGTGCGAAATATGCAGCAAGTTTACAACAAACTAATTCAGGATTGCGGAAGCATTTAACCAGGATCATTCAAGTGTTTTCACTACTCTGAATGGATGTACTTCTTTGCATAAATGTAACAAACACAACTCGAAGAATACCATGTAATTATTCATCATGCAATTGATTTTAAAAGAAATTGCAGATGAATTGGTCAGAGTATAGCGGAAGCATTAATTTAACCAGAATCAAATATATATACCTCAGTTCCTTTAGTAAAAATAAAGAACCCTAGCCACGTTGGATGGCTCTGATACCACATGTAAGAATTACATAAGAATTAAGCTAACAATATCACCAACGCAGTGTTAGGATTACCAACATGAAAAAACAGATCAGTAACAACCAAATCATAGCATCACATTAGTCGCAAGGATGACTTACCTGATGGAGTCGCCATTGAATGAATAACAGAAGTAGTCTTCTACTTCCAATACCTCTTTATGAATTCTACTAGCGAAATAGGTTTGTAGTATTGTGAGATTTCAACGGTATGGAAGCAGGGACTGCCTCTTGGTTATATAGCTAGGGTTTCAACCAATTCCACCCTATTAACGGAAAGGATATCCACCCTAATCTTTTCTAATCAATTAGAGTCCCATCATGACTCTTATACCTTGTATTCTCTTAATAAAAGGGCCATAAATTGATTGCAAGTAATTAGGACTCCAATATGTTTATTCCTTTAAGGCTCCAAGAATGATAAAAGATTTCATTAACTTGATTACCAAGTCAACTACTCTCTCAAAGATTCTCGGCATAATTCATTGTCATTCACAAATGGTTTTACATATTATTGTTGCAACCAACGAGCACAAATCAATCTCCACCCTTTCTTTGCTAGCATTCCAAGATTGAATGCATATAGATTTCGAAACCCAAGTCCTCTTTCCGCCTTTGGTATGCACAATTTCTCCCACAAGCACCAATTCATATTCCTTTCCCCTTCATCTCCATTCCACCAAAAGGACGTTATCATTCTGTTTAAATCTTCACAAAAAAGCTTAGGGAGAAGGAAACAGCTCATTGTATAGTTTGGGACTGCCTGGGCCATCGTCTTGGCCAATATCTCTTTTCCTGCTGCACTTAGTAATTTTTTCTTTCCAAGTCTTTTCCATAGTCGGTCCTTCAAATACCCAAAACATTAGCTTTTGTTTCTTCCAATTAGTGTTGGCATTCCCAAATATTTTTCATGGCGTTCCACCCGCTTGACCCCATAGTAGCAAGTTTTGTTTGCACTTGTCTTTTGACATTTTTTGCTAAAGCAAATTTCGTTTTTCTCCAGATTGTTCTTTTCCCTGATGCATTCTCATACAACTCGAGAATTTTCATGACATGGTAGCACCCTGTCTCAATAGCACGGCAGAATAGAAGACTATCTCGGCAAAGAGTAAATGTGTTGAATGTTTGATGTATTTTTCATATCTGAAACCATTACACGATGCAACATATATGGGAGAAGAAAAACGTGAAGAAGAAAGGAGGACCATGGCAGCTAAGCCAACATAATGATGACCTCCAATCCCACTAATCTTAATCTATTATCTAACTTTAGCTTTACAGTGAAGAAGGGCCGAAAGTAATGGATAAAAACAATAGATGATGGAGGACCGAAAGCAACAGCTAAACACCAACAACAGCTGAGTTGTTATCCACCCTACTTTTAATAATGACACATCCAATACTCCCCCTCAAGCTGGATCCAAAAGGTTGATAGATCCAAGCTTGCCAAGAAGAAGCTGAAACTGATAAGAGGCCAATGATTTTGTGAATAGGTCCGCAAGTTGATCCGAGCTCCTTACAAAATGCGTTTGGATAACCTAAGATTGAACTTGTGTACGAACATAGTGACAATCGACTTCAATGTGCTTGGTTCTCTCATGAAAAACTGGGTTGGAAGCAATGTGCATTGCAGCCTGATTGTCACAGAAAAGGGACATGGATTGATGATTGAAAACACCTAAGTCACACAGTAAACCTTTGAGCCAGATTAGTTCACACGCAGTAGATGTCATTGCCCGATATTCTGCCTCAGCACTGGATCTTGCAACGACAGTTTGTTTTTTGCTTTTCCATGAGACAAGGTTGTCTCCCACAAACGTGCAAAATCCCGTTGTAGACTTACGATCAATGGAATTGCCAACCCAATCTGCATCACAATAACCTGTAATCTGAGTGCTTGCATTTTTCTTCATGATTATACCACGTCCCACAGAACCTTTTAGATACCGAAGTATCTTTTTGACTAGGTTAAAGTGCTCCATCGTGGGAGAGTGCATAAATTGGCTAACAATACTGACAGCATAGGTAATGTCGGGCCTTGTGATGGTCAGGTATATCAACTTACCAACCAACCGCTGATAATAACTTATGTTTGGAAGAGATTGACCCTCTAAGCTGACCTTAAGTTTAATGTCAAGAGGTGTAGGGACCGGTTTAGCATCACTCATGTTTGCTTCCTTAAGGAGATCCAGAACATATTTGCGCTGGTTAAGGAAGAAGCCCTTGTGAGATGTAGCCATTTCGATGCCAAGGAAGTATCTCAGAACACCAAGATCTTTTATTGCAAAGCGTTGCTGAAGGGAGTGCTTGAGTTCTTTGATTTCTTCAGGGTTATCTCCGGTGATGATCAAGTCATCAACATACACAAGAACAACCAATGTACCAGCGGTGCCTGAGCGTACAAATAAAGAGGAGTCCGCATTGCTTCTTCCAAAACCAACACTGATAAGGACTGAACTGAGCTTAGCATACCAGGCTCTCGGTGATTGTTTAAGACCATAAATTGATTTGTGCAGTTTACACACAACATCCTGTTTATGACTTTGAGAGTGACCCGGTGGTAATCTCATGTAGACGTCTTCTTCAAGCTCACCATGTAAGAAGGCGTTTTTTACATCCATTTGATACATAGGCCATCCTTTGTTGACAGCCACAGACAAGAGTACGCGCACTGTGTTCATCTTTGCAACGGGGGCAAAGGTTTCCTTGTAATCCACATCAAATGTTTGAGTGAAGCCACGGGCCACTAATCGTGCCTTGTGTCTTTCAATAGACCCATCCGAGTTGAATTTAATCTTGTATATCCACCTGCAGCCTACTATCTTCTTTCCTTTGGGCAGTGGCACAATGCTCCAGGTTTTATGTTGATCGAGTGCATGCAGTTCATCCTGCATTACTTGCTGCCACACTTGGGATTGGTTAGCTTCTTGAAATGATTGAGGCTCTTCATGCGCAGATATATTACTCAAATAGGCTGTGTAATTAGGTGACAACTTTTGATAAGAACAGTAGTTGGATAAGGGGTGCTTGAGTTTGTACGTAACAAAGTCTTGCAGTCTTGCTGGTGGGTGCCTCTCACGAGTTGGATTTCGTCGAGGTATGGTAGGAAGAGACTCTTCTGAAGGTTCTTCAGGACCAATACTACGTAGAGTTTCATCTTCTACAGGCATGTTGCTGTCGTCATATGAATCCGGTTGATTTAGAGCCACAAGATCCATTGTGTGAGTTTGATCACCCGCATTGTTGAGTATCTCAGTCCTTGGCAGTGGAAACATGTCCAAGATAATCTCCCCCTGACTTGTACTATCCAAATACTTACTGTAATAAGAGTTAGTTTCATGAAATTGAACATCCTTTGAAACAATTAATCTCTTAAGTTGTGGATTATAACACTTATACCCTTTTTGTGTGGACGAGTAGCCAAGGAAAATGCATTTAGTTGCCCTAGGATCAAGTTTGTCTCGATGTAATGACTGAACATGAACAAAACAGATGCATCCAAAGACTTTAAGGTGAGACAAGTCCACCTTTCTGTTCTTGACTATCTCCATTGGGGATTTGAACCCCAAAACCCTACTAGGTAATCTGTTGATCAGGTAAGCTGCTGTCATGACGCTTTGAGACCAAAAACGTTTTGGTACATTCATTTGTAACATCAATGCCCTAGTTTTTTCAAGGAGATCTCGGTTTTTTCTCTCGGCAACACCATTTTGTTGGGGTGTGCCAACACAGCTAGTTTGATGTATGATGCCATTGTTGCTCAAATATTGAGTCATGACTTGGGACATGTATTTTGTGCCATTATCAGACCTTAGGGTTTTGATTTGAGAAGAAAAATGATTTTTGACAAGGTTGTGAAAGTCCTTAAACACTTCCATCACCTCACTTTTTGATTTTAACAAATATAACCAGGTGGCTCTTGAATAATCATCAACAAAAGTTATGAAATATTTATAACCATCAAAAGATTCATTTGTTGGTCCCCATATATCAGAGTGTACAAGCTCAAAAAGATGAGAAACTCTAGACATCGAAGACCCTAGAGGTAGTCTTGTTGCCTTTGACAAATGACAAGTTTCACAGTGGGTTGATTCTTTGCCTAAGTCAGGAAATAAGGTGGATAAGATAGGTTGAGATGGATGAGCTAGTCGTTGGTACCACAAGGTGGAAGCTTGAATGGAGGTATGGATGGACTTTGACTTGGCATGGAACCCACAGGAAGAGCTTTTTGATATGTAATAGAGACCATCAAGGTAAAACCCCTCACCAATCGTCCTCTTGGTTATACAATCCTGAAAAATGACAGTTTTTGGTGAAAAAATGGCCAAACAATTTAAGGAATTTGTGATTCTTCCCACTGAGAGAAGTTGAAATGGAAATGATGGGACATATAGGGCCATAGACTCTATTTGATCAGATATCAGGTGGATTTTTCCCTTTCCTACAATCCTAGCACCTTCACCATTAGCAACAGATACATGTGAAGGATTATGTAGTTTCTCAAATCTATGTAACTTTGACATTTGATTAGTCATATGGTCTGTGGCACCAGAATCTACAACCCAAAAATCATGTAACTCATTTATTTTAAGAGCAGTTTGGAAAGCAGTTACGATACCTTTCAAGTCTGTCTGAGGTACATAATCAGCATCAGCTAAAAAACCTGCAAATTTGCCCATCAATGCAGTAGTACTTCCATCTTCATGATCAACCGATCCATCCTCTTTTCCCTTCTTTTGTTGGAGATACGCTGCGAACTCATTTAAAAGGATGGCAGGATTTGCAGTGAACTGTTGATAGGTATCAACATTGTTGATAGATGAAGATGTTGCAGTGTTGGCACGAGGGTGTGCTCGACTTGTCTTTGGTGCGGATTTATCCTTCATGAAGTCAGGTTTGAGTTTTGGATGTAGGATCCAGCACTTGTCTCTCACATGCCCGATGTTGTCACAATGTAGGCACTTTAAATGAGGGTTTTTTCCTTTATATCTTTTTTCATTTGTCAGGTAAGCCCTAGCTTCTGTCACGTTGGTTTTTATACCATTGTTCATGACTTTTCTCCTTACTTCCTCACGTTGGATAGTTGCACAGATACTAGTGAAGGATGGTAGCTCCGAGTTCATGAGAATGTGACTTCTCAAATCCTCATATTCTGAGCTCAAGCTAGACAATAATTGAAAATTTTTATCTTCTTCAGTTCTTTTAAGGAGCATAGAGAGATCAGTTGTGTGAGGTCTGTACACATCTAACTCATTCCACATGCTTCTCAAAGAACCAAGATGTTGAACAAAGCTTTTACCTTCTTGCTGTATGTTGGAGATATCCTTCTTGAGTTGAAAGATGCGAGCTGCATTGTTTTGATTTCCATACATCTCCTTCACGGTGGTCCAAAGGATGAGAGACGACTCGGAATAGCTGAAGATTTCAGCAATATTCCTTTCCATAGAATTTAACAACCATGACATGACCAGTTGATCTTTACATAGCCACCCTCCATATTCTGGAGAAGAAGCATCTGGTGCAGGTTGACTGCCATTGATGAAACTGAGTTTGGATCTTCCACCGAGAGCAAGACTAACAGCCCTTGCCCATGGCAAATAATTAAACTCATTCAATAATACTGAACTGAGTCGTTGGTTTGGATTGATATCCATTTCAGAAGCGCTTCCAGATGAAGAAGCAATGATACTTCCATCTGCCATTGTTTTTGAAAAATAAACACAGCAGGTTCGATATACAGAACTGGCTCAGGATGATGCCCGCTCTAATACCATGTTGAATGTTTGATGTATTTTTCATATCTGAAACCATTACACGATGCAACATATATGGGAGAAGAAAAACGTGAAGAAGAAAGGAGGACCATGGCAGCTAAGCCAACATAATGATGACCTCCAATCCCACTAATCTTAATCTATTATCTAACTTTAGCTTTACAGTGAAGAAGGGCCGAAAGTAATGGATAAAAACAATAGATGATGGAGGACCGAAAGCAACAGCTAAACACCAACAGCAGCTGAGTTGTTATCCACCCTACTTTTAATAATGACACATCCAATAAAATGGTTTACCGATGGAGCTGCAACACAGATTTTGACACCCTTGATGGTACCTTGGTTTTCATACTGAGCAATCAACGCCGACAATCCTTCGGCACAAAGATAGACGCTTTGCAATAAGAATTTGAGTTCATTCGTTGCCAAACGAGATCCGGTCCTCTTTCTTGATGAAAATATTTTAGCCTCTTGAGCTAGAATATTTTGAGTCCATTATTCGTTGTTTACTATCTGAGAGACAGAGAGAGTATCTCATAGCTCGACATAGTTTGTTAATGTTCCTTTGGAGAATAAACAAGCGGTATGAAATTACAATACTCAAAGAAATCAGGGTTATAGATTGTTGAACCTTTAAATTTGGATGGAAGATGGCACCGAGTGGTTGTATCATTTTTCTTTTTAGATTGGAGAAATTCTGAGGGGATTCTCTCAAAAGTGAAACTCTTTATGAATTTTCTGTTACCTCACAATTATAAGGAGTGATTGTAATAGAATTCATAGAGAAAAGTCTCACTACTATATACAAGAGGAAGTTGGTAGTAGTTATATTTGGGATGTTGATTGATGGTGTACCATACCTTACTTTTTGTATATCTTTGAGATAGTTTCCATAAAAGTGAGGGAAAAAACTCATGAGCTTAATACATGCTTTAATTAGAGTAATTCGGGTCTTCTACTTACATTCCGCGTGTTGTTTAATTATATAGCTATATGGTGTTGATACAGCAACTAATGAAAAACCATATGTTAACCAAAGAGCAATTGTAGTGCTTACATTTTAATTTTGAACCTTATGTTGTGAAAATCTAAAGAAAACGTCATCGTAAGGGAAGGAGGAAGGAGTAGCACTTATGCTATTTCCCCTCCTTTTCTCTTCGCCCCCACAACGCTCATTGTCAATTTTTTTTTTTTTTAATTTATTGTGGTGAATAATAGTCCTCTTTGTCGTGACTAAGTCTTTCTCTTGGATTTGAGTTCTTCATCACTTATTTTTTTTTGTCCTTTTTCAATTCAATCCTTCTCCCAAAATCCTCCATCTAAGGTTTTTTGGGTAGTGTGAATCTAACTCTTTAATCCAGCAATTATAATCAGCTATTATTTGCAATCTTAGTCAACTATTTATACCGCTAACAATAAAAAGGCTTTTAGGGTGTCACTCTGACTTGTTTTTGACATTCGAAGATCGATTTATTTTATCCTTCCTTTTTGTAGTTAACGAAAAAGAACCCTATACTTAATTTTTGAAGAGCTAACACGATGAAAAATATGAAAGCTGACACACTCTCAGTATCTGAATGATATGTCGTTTAGACACTCTTTAATAAGGTTGAGTTCAAATATATATCTTGCAATGTATTGCTTCATTTCTATCTTACATGTTTTGTTTCAACGGAACGGATTCAGGTAAGCTCATGTTGCCACTGTGAAATGTAAACGCAGTGTATTAGTGTGGATAGAAGTACAATTAGGTTAGGTTGTCTACAGACACCTTGGCCGTTTGTTGCTCCTCGTGTCTGTGTAAGACTCTCAGGAGTTACTGTAGGTCAGATGGCGTTATCATTAGGTCAGCCGATCAGCCACAAGAAAGTAAGAAAATGGAAGGTGTTGGGAAATTGCGAACCTCAAAAATTCATGGAAACAAGAAATTACCAACTGATGATGTAGTCAATACATAAGCAACAATATCGTTAGACCATTGTACAGAAATTGTTGGATCCTCTCATGCATGTCCATTAACTCATACCATACCGACCGCACCACACTAGCGTCCCATGTTAAAATATCAAAATTTTTGTCTACATATCCTTAAGGACATTACTTGGTTGCTGCAAATTCATCAACAACACCTGTTTCTACTTAACTACAGATGACCATGTGTCTAAATAATTGAAATTTAACACAAATTGCGCACATGTCCATCTATGTGGTTGGGTAGAAGCAGAAATATTGCTGCTAAATTTGCAACAGCCAAGTAATGTTCTATCCTTAGTTCATTAACACGAATTTGTGTCATGTAAATTGTCATCAGATAGTACTCAAGAGCCAAGAGACCACGTGCCCTATTCTCCGTTACGTTATGACTACTGCCTTAACGCGCACGGAATACAAAAGAGAAGGAAAAAAGTAGGTCCGCGCATGCATCTCTCTTTCTGAGTCTTGAAGCATGTATCGTGTACATGCAATATTTGTGGTATTTTCATAAAGGAAATTCACTCTTGTTTTTGTGGTAATTCTTTCCACTTTTTGTTCTTTGCCATCTAATATTTATAGTAGGCAATGTCCATAACCCTATTGTCTTGTCGGTTGAATCCCCAAACCAGCTACGACAACCACTCACCCCAACCGTCTTTGTCGGCCGCAACTCCCTTCATCACCAACGGCAAATTTTTTTTCTTTTTCTTCTTTCTCTATTTTTCCATCGCCGGCAAAGCCGCATCAGTCTCTTGGATGTTCGATTGTTTCTTCACGTCAATTCATGTCTTGGCGTTTGTCGTTGACATGTCGATTCGTATCTCGATTCTATCGATCAGATCTCTTCATCATCTCTAAATTCCGAAATTCACAGAAAATCTTTATTCTATGACAGGCTGGTTCGATCACAATCTATTTTGCATGTTCAAAGAGAGACGAAGAGGGAGAAAGGACGACGAGAGAAATAGAGAGAAAAGTAAGATGGATTTTTTGGCCATAAGGGCAGCGTCACCGACGAGATGGTGTGGTTGGGTGGGTGGTTGTCAGCATAGTTTGGCGTTGGAGTTTGGAGGCTGTTCGATGCTTGTTTTCTTTAATTTGTAGTTTTTATTTTTATTTTATTTATAAAACCTTTAAAAAGGTTAAATAAGGAGTTAAATTGAGGAACACATGACAAAAATTAAAATGAAAACATAAAGAAGGCATAATTTTGAGAGAGATTTTTCAGTGTGTTCGGAATATGGAGTGAGACACCAAATTACACCAGTAGTGAGATACTTGTGTTAAAAATTAACAACTTAAAAATAAAACTTTTCACCACTTCTACAAACATATGATAAACCATATGTGTTTCGAACACAATAAAAAATTTCTCTAATGTTTGAGATAGCAGACATGGGGCCTTTTAATCATGACATTGTTAGGGTCAAAAGTGCAGTTAATGCCGTGCACGATTTTACAACTGCAACCGTGCAAATTATTCCAATAATGCTGCAAAACCATAATAACTAGATAAAGGAAATTTTTTTTTACCTAACCATTAAGTCTATCATGTATTAAAATACGAGTATCCATCGTCAAATTAACTAATATCATAAAATCAATTGATAATAAAAGAAAAAAAAGTTCAAAATTATTTCAACTGTCAGAGAAACCAAAAGTTAAATTTTTTTTCCGAAATGATATTCGTATTCTCAACAAATATCGTCAATTATTTTTGGCTATGCAGTATGAATTCTTTAAGTACATGCAGTACTCTTAGGAGTTCATCAACAACAATATATACTTGTCAAAATATAAGCAGAAAATAATAATATTTGTGTAACAATAGTTACAATACTGGTTTGTCATTAATCTACAGCTTACAAAGTTAGATCAACATCTAACCGGTTTCTGCACTGTATTAGTATCTGTACTTTTCTTTTCTTTTCTTTTTACCAATAAGTTTTCTTAAGAAAAAGAAAAATGCCAAAGCATTAAAACCCTAAAAATCACATATTTAATGATCTTTGGGAGTAGAACTTTCGTGTTCGTGCATAGAGCATTAAAGCTAAGCCAGTTCCCAGAAAACAAAGGCAGCCCCATATAATAAAAGTGCTTTTGTAGCAAGCCATTCCCATGCACTTCCCGTCACCGTCATGATTTCCTTCTTTGCGGTAAAGAATAGCAGACAAGTATCCAAACACAAAAGACCCGATTGATATGTTGGCCACCACCACATTGTGGTTCACTGAGAAACTCTTGGTCCCAAACAGCTCTGTGGTTATGGACACTGCGATTGAAGTAATAGCTCCAGTACAGACTCCTATAATTGCTGTGCTGATGAAAAGTGAGAGGTTGGCTGGGTTGAGAAGCAAGAAGAAGGCTCCTGCTATTGGTGTCATTAATGCAACTACTAATGCTGGCCTTGAAATCATATACTTACTCCTGCAAAAATGGAACGATAAAAAAAAAAAATTACATCACCCACATATATCAAATGTCTTTTCAATTTATCAAATTATTCGCTTGTCACACAGTCTGAATCTCAACCACTGTTACGTGGGACAATATAACATGTCAAATATGTGAATTATGAACAAGTGAACATGAATTACATTTAGACTATTTCCAACCCATGAGATAAAGATTAAAATATAAGCTTTAAACCCTCCCCCCACTCCTTCTCCAACCATTGGGCTAAAATAAGTTCAAGAAAAAAATATATCTTTGGGCTAGATTCTTCTGAGGATTTAAATCTGATTTAAATTATTTTGAACCCACCAAACTGTTATATTTCAAACATTTTTTTTTTGTTTTTTTACTTATAATCTAACGGTTATGATCAAATGAGATCAAATCTAATGGTAAAAAAAAAAAAATTTGACTGTCCAAAATTAAATCTAATGTCTAAAATAATTTAAATCAAATTTAAATTAAAGTTTTATAACTATACGTAATTGTATGATTTTTAATTACTTATCAGAATTTAAATATTTTTAGATTAAAATGTTCATCAAAATAAATTAGGATAATCTATATAAATTTTATTTTCAAAAAATGTTACCGAAAAAAAAAGTTAGGCTAAAATCATTATTTAATATTTTCGAACTAAAATTTTAAGCCACAAGAGTTAAAGAAAAAAAGCAGTTTCTGGGTTATGACTTAAAATTTTCTAACTTAAATTTTTAAGCTTTTTCTCCAAGGGTTAAAGATAGTCTTAATATATAGAGCATAATTGATGTCCTTCAACAAATATTGAAATTATGCCAGTGGTCATCTACCACAATGGTGATGAAGAGTGTTGCTCTTACACAACATCGTGGGTTCTAGCATCTAACAAATATATCGCTTGATAAATTAAAAAACATTATTAAAATTATTAAAGTAAAAATAAATGAGAGAGGGAGGGAATACCTTGAGAAGAAGTAGTCCAAAAGAGAAGGCATGAGACGGCCAAAAAACCCAAATGAAGAGGATAAAGAGACCAAAGAAGAAGTCCTAGACGATCCCCGGGACTCTGAAATCTGTCCCAAGTTGTTCAAGAACACCAACCCAAGTGTTGCACTGAACAAATAAACAAAGAAATATAACCAAAAATCAATCCTTGTCACCATCAACTTCACTCCAATCTCCTCCCTACAACCAACTTCAAGAACTTGTCTAGCATCTAATTCTTCTCCCTCTTTCACTCCCACATTCTCTAAGCTCCCCGTTTCGTTGTTCTTCTCATCTATGGTAAAATTATACACTCTTCTCTCTCTTTTTATGTTCCATTTTTTTGAAAATACTTCTCTCATTTTATCCACAACCGGGATTACTAATGGGACTAATAGGAACAATCCGGTTCCTATTACATTATGCAAAGGAGAGAACCCGCTAGAAATCGACCCTAAACTGCTAATCACCGCGTAGATTCCTGTAGCAATTGTTATGACGAACATAAAAACAAACCCGGCTTCCATGTTACTTTGCCTTCCCATCAGATCAATGTCTCTAACCAATGGCGCGACGATAACACACACAACAAGTGGCAAGAGAGAGTTGAGAAGTAAGTAGGCCTTGGCTCTTCTGTGAGGCGAAGACGAAAATGCAGCGCCAACAATATCTGTATAAATCTTGGCGCTCAATCCTTGGTAACTTGTTGTTATCCCCACGGCAATTTGTTGATGACATGGGAAGTTTCTAATGCTGACAACATAGCACACAGTGTTGATCCAGCAAATGCTATTTCCAGCCATAACAGTTAACAGGAAAATCTGCCAATAGGATGGCGATGGGATTTGGTTTGTGATGAAGAGGAACTGGACGCCATACCCGATAAACCCCAGTAGCGAACCGATCATGAGGACTATCCACAGGGGTAAGTGGATGGCAGCAATGCCGGAAAACCATCCGAGGAGTTTTCCGGCATCTGAGGCGAAGGCGAGGTTATTGAGCTGTAGTTGGGACATGGAGAGGACGTTTTTGAGCTGGGAGGAGTAAGCTGGGAAGTTGGTGTTCGTTCCATTGATGGACTGAAGCCATATGATTCCCACAAGGCTTAGCCATTGGAGAGCAGAAGAAGAAGAAGAACAAGAAGAAGAAGAAGAAGAAGAAGAAGAAGATGATGATGACATGACGAAATATGAGGTGGGTTTTGATGCAATTAGGATTTCTGTTTGTTTACTGGTGATTTGCAGGTGCAGAATATTGGTTTATAAAGCGTCGTGTACCTATATGTTAGGCTTTGGAGAGGTGGTAGGACGAGGAGAGGGGTTTAGTGTGAAAAGAGCAAGCAACTGTCAGAAATGCTGGCAAATTGAGGAGGACCATAGGAGTTTATATGTCCATTCGTTTTCTGAGTTACAAAATTGACTGCTAACTGGGGTTAGGAAGGGTGAGTGTGTAACCATCTATATAGGGTTTCTTCTAAAATTTGTTTTTGTTAGGAAGGGAAATTGAACGTTTATTTTATTTTATTTTTCATTATTTCATCAACCCATTAGTAATGGAAAAACTAAAATGAAAAAAAAATGGTAGGTTTTGTATTTACTTTATAAATATATCTTTCCTCTCTTCTTGGTCTAGTCTTTTCCCAATTATTTTCTTTCAAAGTCATGTAGAAACAGAAAATATGAAAGAACGGAGAGAGGTATAAGAGACTTCTACACGCTTGTTTCCCCCTCTCTCTAACATTTTATCTAAGGATAATAAAATAAAGATTAAATTTTTAAATCAAATTTACATATCAAATTATGTGTCACTAATAGGAAATAAAAACGTTAATCAACATTTGAGCAATAATCCAATCATCAACAACTATATCATTTAATTACAAAATTTAGTTTCTCTAATATCATCCTTTAACTAAATTTCGTATTACTCGTGAAGTAAGTTTTCCTCCCCATTTTGTGACCTTGACTTCTCATTGCTTCTTATCCAAACAAAGCTTCAAAACGAGGGCTATAAAATCCAGGTTATCCCTAACCTGAGTGCACCGCCCAACACACATTTCTAACCAAAAGTGTCCTTAATCTAGTCATCTTATACTTTAACTAATGCTTCTTCTCAATGTTAAATGAGGCTCTACATTTGAGTCCTCTGCCATCGTTGATTTAAAAAGGTATAATTTTGGTTAAAAACCATATGACCCTATAACTTCATAAAAATAAACAAGAATAAAGGGTAACTTTCTTTCAAACAAAACTGAGGGCACGTTTACTTCTAAGGAATGAATATTATTTGTATTGATTTTATATCATTTGTTTACTAAGATTCAAAGAATGAATAAATAAGTGAGTTCCCCATAAATTTTGGATATAATCGATTGATTCTTTCATCTTAACTGAATTTCGGTATAGACTTTTGAATCATCCTTATTTGGAATAGGGTTTTTTTTTTTTTTTTCAAACTAATGTTAAAATAGTTAGGTAAAGTGACTAGTATATTGGATTGATGGCTCTTTTCTATCACTTGTAAAAGTCACATTGATTTTGGCTATTTGCAACCGACTAAAAGGGAAAGAGTAAAATAATCAGAGGTTGATTTGCTTTTCAAGTTTTCTTGATGCAGAGTAGCTAGGTATAATGGTTGTGCTTATGCCATGTGGTTCTCTAATGACCACCACATTCACAATCAATGGTTTTTATTTGAGTGTGATAGCTAGAAACAGATAAACAATGAATTATGGTGTTAATAATTAAGCAATGAGATGTAAAAGAGCTCGTGAAATTGCTATAAAGAAGATTTTATTTCTCGGAGTTTTAACGAAAATTTTGCGGTATTATTCACTTTAAGGAAAAATTATATTGTTACACTAAAAAAAATCAATCCTGATACTATTCACTTTATCCTTTATTTTGTCTTTATTATTAAAACTCAAAATTTTCAAATATTTTTCATTAGTTTTCTTTTTATTTTTTTGTCAAACATAAGCTTCATTGATAGAAGAAAATGTGGAAAAGATTAACTTAATAAAGACTGCTAGTAGGCCAAATGAACAAAGAAGCCCCAACAAAGCATATGATAGTCCAATTACTCTGTCGGTTGACAAAAGTCATCTTAGGCTCTTAGCACACCTTCATTTGAGGGAGCGACTCGCTCTCGAGGTCAAAGCACCAATCATGATGCATATATATAGAGAGAGTTTTGTAATTGGTTAATCCGTTCAAGTTGAAATAGTAGATAAAATTGTAGAAACAAAATAGTAGGAGAATTTTACGGTTTGAATTGTTGTGTATTATCCTCTCCATGAGGCTTGATATATACAAGTAGAATTGTCTACGTACATGGAATCCCTAATTCTTTTTTTTGTAAGGCCCCATAGAAATATGCTATACTGAAGTGAGCAAAGCTAAAACAATCGTAGTATTTATATCATTTGTGAGTGCGGCTAATTCCTCATGAGGTAACTGTATGATTAATCAAGAAAGAAATCTCTAACAATACAAAAGTTACAATTATACTTTAAATATAAATTGTTGACTCATGCCAACACTAGTACAATTAATATTTTAAGATAGTGTTTATTAAAGATTTTTAAGTATGACCGTTATACAACCACATGTATATAATCTTCAGTTATAACATAAGTATGTAGGTTTAAAACCTTGAGAAGATAACTACAACACATAGCTGCGTTAAGATCTCACCCAAAAAAAAATCTCGTACAGTATAGCTTTGGAATGAGCCGTGTGCAAGTTGGTGGGTGCAACTACATACACATTATGTGATATAGACAAGATGGTAAGGTTATGACCATGCCATCAAATTCTATATCCTAGATTTCGTGCTTCTCATACCATGAAAAGACAAGGGGCCATGCATCTTCTTAAAGACAAGAGATAGGGAAAGGCCCATGTTAATGTATGTTACAAATTAATCGCGTGACATCATCCATGAGAGCATGTAGGCCAGTTAGCTAAAAGATTTCATATATATCTAAAGAACGGGAATTGCCCGTGTGTATGTCATAATCTAGTTAATTTACTGTATGTAGAATAGGAGGAGAATGTGAACATGGTAAAAAGAATGGCATGTAGTGACGGCTATATATATTTAGAGACCTTTTAGACAAGCATTATAACGGAAGAGATTCTCATTTTTTCTTAAATATGATTAGTTATGAGCTCACACCACATTAAACTTAAATTATCTTTTTTTAAGTTGCACCTCGTATACCATCCTAACAAAATATTAGCTTAATAAAAAATATTTGAGGCATCTAATTGAGTTTAAAAAAATTGACGAACATTGTGTTATAAGAAACATTGAAATTTTATTGTGATCAATAAATAGGCAAATAGTTTCAGATTAAATTAAATTTTTGTAAGAATGATCTATGAATCGAGACTTACAAAATAAAGCGGTTCGAATTGTTGAAGTTCGATATGAAATGGGTCTTACAACTAATTCCTATTTTTTCTTTTTTTAAAAAAAAAAAACTGAATTACTTCTTTGGCCTTTTGTTTAATTTTATTTTAAGGATAATAAATAATAAATAGTCTTGATAGACAAATTAATCAAAAATTAAAATTTTTGAGTGAGGGTTGTCATATATGTCATGCTTCTGAAAATTATCCAATCATGTGTTAAGAAGTTTTTCCTCTTATTAAGGGTTTGATAAAGTGGATGCTAATTAATCATAATTACCTTTGGACCTCCTTGCTAGTTGTCTTTTGATACTGGCATGGCTTATACTTCCCTGGCTACCAGGACATTGTGCTCAAGATGAACTCTTTCTTTGAGACGTGACAACCTACGTTATGGCTAATACACATAGCCTTAGTTTATGTCTAGGGGTTTTCACAAATAAACTCACATTTCACAGTCAGAAACTTTTAAAGCACGGTTTTGAAAAAAAATACCAATGAACACAATTTTACTGCCCTTGACATTCACAGTTGATATGTAAGGGCCGGTTTGTTTTAATTTATAATTTGATTCTTGAAGTGTTTCTCACTAATATTAACAGTTATCGAGAAACATGCACCAGTTATGTATGATTTCTAACATAACAAGGACGGCTTAATTTTAGTACAATCATGATAACCACCTAAGAAGAACAGTAATAATTTCTCCGTATTCTTTTGCTTTTTGCATATATTGGACGAATTCAAGCAAAACTTTAATTCCAAACTAATAGTTAAGCTTTAGATTAGGGACTCTGCCACTGCCATATTATACTGGTGCTCAATTGATTAGGCCCACACGCAATGCCATAACATTGACCTTAAGCCAAACCCAATGAAAGTGGGTGTCCCTCTTCAATGGAGCTGATTGGGTTTTCTCAACTAGGATCGGCAAATGATCATGACTAACTTTGCTAATAAATCAAACTCCCTTTCACTAAACCAAACTTGCCGCAAAGGAAAATGAACATCAATTGGGAAACCCCAATCATCACGAAGCCCACGTGCTCCAAAAAACTTGATTATTTTGACCTTAACCAAACCATGTTGCACTCATAACAACATATATGATATAATGTTAAAGCAATCTGATGAGTGATATCGAGATAATTTATCGAGTGTTGTTGACAAAACCAGTCGAGATATGTCTAAGATCAAACACTTGGTAGGCACAAAAAAGACTTATACCAGACATTCGAATGATCCTAAGAAGACCTTCATATGTGTGTGTGTATATATATATATATATATTTCCTAAACCGTTCTGGAACTACCGTTGTTCCAATGTACAGTTGCCTCTGACTCTAGACAATAATAATACTAAACACCAACTATTTTTTGTATTCTAATGTCAAGTTTCTGACATTGCGTGAAATCAGTATATTATAGACTTGTGTAAATTCGTGTATGGCCTATCATTTTATATAAGAGAAATGAGACGAGTTCGGCGTAGAGTTGAAGTTTTGCCATGTACATATAAGAACATTCTTCATGCTCATTAAGTGCTTTGATTTTCCTTATTATTTAGGCGGAGGAGGTTGGACCTCATTTATATCTTGGCCGTAGTGCTAGTTCCACTACCCAACTACATCTAGTAGTTAGTGATCAAACCATCGATCACTGCAGACCACAAAAGTCATGCATATTAACATATTCATTAATATAAGACTAACCACCCTCTGTCAAGCCATAACTTACAGACATAAGTACTCTTGAATTTTTCAGGTCAAGGGTCAAGGGTCTTGTTCCAACGATACCAATGTTATCTTCAATTTTAAAATTATCATCTGCTCAGTTTATTAGATATGCAATTTTTATCACAAAAGTCACCTATGTTAATTAGAATAGGGTAAGCATATTTAAACTCTTTATTTCTTCTTTTCCTCACGATGTGGGATAGTCAATAGGTACACTAAGCTCAAGGACCACTAATTGACAGACGTTAAATTTCCTAGTCGTTTACAGACCATGATTTATGTAGAAGAAGAAGCTGAAGGACCACCAAGTTCGAAAATCCGTCCCTCCCTCACCCGATTCTTTCCATAATATATGTAATTAATTTAGAGTAGAATGTTGCTTATAAAATAATCCTTATCGTTTAATTATGTAGACTAGATCGATTTGGTACACATTAATCAAATATACACTCCTTTAAATCCATACAAAAAATATATATAATTTGGTATTTTATTTATTTACGCTTTAAATTCTAATGGGGAAGAGAAAGCCCCTTTGGTTTGAAGAAATTCTGAAAATTCAACCTGTCTGCATAGTGGACCTGTTGAAACGTTTCTGAGAGGATTTGAAAGCAACAACATGCATCTTAACCACCACAACACACTCTCCTGAAAACGATCCCCAGGTCCCATCCATCGATGGACCTCTAAAACAAGGAATTTGAGGCTTTTAACAATGCCAACAAGAATGCTCTAGCACTCCCTATCTAGGAGGACTTCTAGAAAAAAAAAAAATAAGAAAGCAAGGGTCAATGTATCCTAAGTTGGACGAAATGGACTTCGTCTCAAGTGGGATATTGACTTTAACTGACATGTGAGACACTTGTTTATACGTAAAACAAGCCGGTGATCGTTAGGGTTAAACGCAAGGCATTGCAGTCCTCACTCGACGCTTTATAGAACCATATTCGTACATTTTCTTCACTACGAATGAATGTCTTAATAGTTTTAGATTTAGGTGATTTTTGGTAGACATGATCTTTGATGGAAGACTTAAAAGATAGATAACTCGGATAGTTGAATACATTATCAATGCACGCTACAAAAACGTGTGTAAAAAATTGTGTAAAAAAATTGGCGTCACATATCTGCTTCCATTTTTCTTTGCCTATAATTTATGATCTTGTAGCTTTTGTTTTCTACAAAGCATGCAATTATTTCCCAAAAATTCTTAGCAGATGTGCCCCATATTATATGGCAAAGATTGAAGGTCCAAACATAGGTAGTAGTGTGTATCTTAAGAAGGACCAGCCAGGATTGTACCAAATGCTAGTTATGTATTTATGCTTTTCTTGAAAGATTGAGATGTGGTAGATTCAGTAAGGCATGATGTAGGACAACAAGTGTGCTACTTGAAGAACCTAGACTTAAGGAATTTAAAATTATCAATAATAAAATGGAAAGGTGATATTACCTGAGGATTTTTCTTTTATGGTACATTTTTAAGAGGTTAAAAGTGCAAATGATTCGTATATGTAAGTTTTTCGTTTGACCAAAAAAAAAATTATATACATATTCAAGTGTTTTGACGTAGTTGAAATTAACATATTTCTTACTCTAGCATGTTGAAATTAAGGGAGTGTATAATTTTATGGCTGATTGTACGACAAGTTATTATAATAATATATTTTACTTTCTAATGTATTCTAAAGATTTAAGAGATTCTCGTGTCATTCTATTTCCTTGTAAAACTAGTTTTTTCTTTTCATTGATTTGTGAATCTCAAGCCAATGGAAATAAGGCAACAACTTGAAAAGCTGCTTTGGATTGGGATTTGGAAAAGAGAAGTTTCCACGATCCTTAAAGCAGGTGAGAATCCGGTTTAATAGCAGCTTACCAACATTGAATTGGAATCATAAAAAACAGTCGATCTATTATCCTATTTCCTTGAAAAAGCTTGTTCCCATTACGTTCACGGGCCAGCTGGCCTGCCAACGGTAATGGGAATTCTCTCATTCCCTAGTCAAAGACTCAGTAGCCTGCGAGACCTACTCCACTAGATTGAGTCAACTTTTATTTTGATAGAATTCCATGCAAAATAAAAAAAAATACACAACGCTTAAATTTTGTTTTTCTAGGGTCCAATTATTAACTTGATAAATGTGGGATAGCCAACAGGTACACTAAGCTCAAGGACCACTAATTGACAGACGTTAAATTTCCTCGTCGTTTGCAGACCATGATTTACGTAGAAGAAGAATCTGAAGGAACATCAAGTTCGAAAATTCGTCCCTTCCTTATCTGGTTCTTTTCATAATCTATGTAATTAATTTAGAGTAGAATGTTGCTATAAGACTAGATCGATTTGTTACACATTAATCAAATATACACTCCTTTAAATCCATACAAAATATATATATAATTTGGTATTTTATTTATTTACGCTTTAAATTCTAATAGGGAAGAGAAAGCCCTTTTGGTTTCAAGAAATTCTGAAAATTCAACCTATCTGCATAGTGGACCTCTTGAAACGTTTGTGAGAGGATTTGAAGGCAACAACATGCATCTTAACCACCACAACACATTCTCCTGAAAACGATCCCCAGGTCCCATCCATCGATGGACCTCTAAAACAAGGAATTTGAGGCTCTCAACAATGCCAACAAGAATGCTCTAGCACTCCCTATCTAGAAGGACTTCTAGAAAAAACAAAACAAAAAATCAAAAAAAGAAAAAAAGAGCAAGGGTCAATGTATCCTAAGTTGGACGAAATCAACTTCGCCTCGAGTAGGACATTGACTTTAACTTACATGTGAGACGCTTGTTTATACGTAAAACACTTGTTACGTGATATATGTTTATATGTGAGACGCATGTGATGCTTTTGTTTAACGACACCTATTTATATACAAGATACCTATTTAATGACACTTGTTTAATGAAACAGGAGTTAACTATATTGATTCTCCTTAGCCTTGGCCTCAGTCCAGACCAAAAATTGTTATTAGAGATGTTGTAAACATACAATAATATGGTTTCTCTAGTATATTTTCAAGGAAAATAAAGAACAATTTAACAACAATACATATTGAAGTTCTAGTCCCTTGAAATTTGAAGGTCCATTTAACATTGGCCCATTGGGCAACCACATAGGCTGCATTGCAGATATGGGACTACATATATTAATTAAAGTTGACTGTATTATTTTTTTTGGAACAAATTCGTGGCACCACTTTTTTATATATAATTTACACGTTTTTATCGGACTCACTTCGTAATGTATTTCAACAATTGGGACTTTCTATCTTTTAGGTCTTCCTCAAAGATTATGTCTATAAAAAATCACCAAAATCTGAAATAATATGACCATTGGATTAAGAGTTTATAGTTTTTTTATAGAATCGTATTCGTCCATTTTCTTCACTACAAATGAATGTCTTAATAGTTTTAGATTTAGGTGATTTTTGGTAGACATGATCTTTGATGGAAGACTTAAAATTTAGATAGCTCGGATAGTTGAATACATTATCAATGGACGCTACAAAAACATGTGTAAAAAAATTGGCGTCACAGATCTACTTCCATTTTTCTTTGCCTATAATTTATGATCTTGTAACTTTTGTTTTCTACAAAGCATGCAATTCTCTCCCAAAAAATCTTAGCAGATGTGCCCCATATTATATGGCAAAGATTGAAGGTCCAAACATAGGTAGTAGTGTGTATCTTAAGAAGGACCAGCCAGGATGGTACCAAATGCTAGTTATGTATTTATGATTTTCTTGAAAGATTGAGGTGTGGTAGATTTAGTAATGCATGATGTAGTACAACAAGTGTGCTACTTGAAGAACCTTGACTTAAGGAATTTAAAATTATCAATAATAAAATGGAAAGGTGATATTACCTGAGGATTTTTCTTTTATGGTACATTTTTATGAGGTTAAAAATGCAAATCATTCATGTATGTAAGTTTTTCGTTTGACAAAAAAAAATTCGAGTGTTTTGACGTAGTTGAAATTAACATATTTCTTACTCTAGCATGTTGAAATTTATAGAATGTATAATTTTATGGCTGATAGTACGACAAGTTATTATAATAATATATTTTATGTTCTAATATATTCTAAAGATTTTAGAGATTCTCGTGTCATTCTATTTCCTTGTAAAACTAGTTTTTTCTTTTCATTGATTTGTGAATCTCAAGCTAATGGAAATAAGGCAACAACTTGAAGAGCTGCTTTGGATTGGGATTTGGAAAACAGAAGTTTCCACGATCCTTAAAGTAGGTGAGAATCCGATTTGGTAGTAACTTATCAACTTTGAATTGGAATCATAAAAAGCAAACGATCTGTTATCGTATTTCCTTGAAAAATCCGTTCCCATTGCGCTCACGGGTTAGCTGCCCTGCCAGCGGTAATGGGAATTCACTCGTTCCCTAGTCAAAGACTTGGTAGCCTGCGGGACCTACTCCACTATATCGAGTCAACTTTTATTTTGGTAGAACTCCATGCAAAAGAAAAAAAAAATACACAACACTTAAATCTTGTTTTTCTAGAATCCAATTATTAACTTGATAAATGTGGCTAACAATTGAATTAAAAAAAAAAAAAACAGTCTCATTTTCTCAACCAAGTTTTGAGTTCTAATTTTATGGACGAAAATAATTTAATAATAAATAAATAAATTGATAATTGTGCACCATATTCTTGCTAGTCTTCTGTCTATTGTAATCAAAAGTTTTTTTAGAAAAATTCCTCCAAAAAAAATCTAAAGAAACTTGAACTAGTCCGGCCCAACTTGTTACCAGGCCAACGCACACAACAACCCGACTCATTTAAGATCCGACCCGACCGTTTCCTTCGTTTCCAAATTCTTAATTGCAGAAATGCCCACAATACAAAAGCTTGTACAAAATTCCCAGTACGCGCCTTGTCCCTCTACTCCGTCATCTCCAACTCCCGCCGAAACCCTAATTCTAATCGCAGCTCCAGATGGCGGTGGTCGCCGAGAGATCTTCGGCCTCGGCCAACCCGCCGGAAGACAAGCCGGTGATCGTTAGGGTTAAACGCAAGGCATTGCAGTCCTCACTCGACGCTTTCTGTGAGTGTCGCTTATTTTGTATCCATTTTTCTCTTTTTATCTTGTTTGCTTGCCATGAAACTGTAGGAAAGTGGAAAATAAACTTGCTTGAACTTGCAAAGTGTGAAAAAATTGGAAATTTGTGACGAATTTCGGAACATTGTGCAATGTAGGGCTGGAAATCAATGAGAGACCGGTGAAGCGTCCGTTGGTGGATTTTGAGAAGCTTTCGATGTTGGATTCAGCTGGAAAGGGTAACGAATGGTGCTCGTATTTGTCAAGCATTGTTGTTTTTATATATGCGCGTGTTTGTGTGAACTGTAATTACTAAAATTACTAATATTTGGACTAACACAAAGTTATCCAACTGTTTTCGTTCACTTTGATGTAAGCGTTTTGTTAAAAAATTGTACACTAAATAGTTGCGATCTTCGTTATACCCAACAAAGAAATTCCTTTATGAGTTGTTGGATATGTTGTTAATGGAGTTATTGATTAACAAATTACTGAGTATGCTGAATATGATCAAAGTTGTTTTTTTTTTTTTTATGTTCCGTTGATTAGCAATTGACAAGGTTACATTTTTTTTCTTTCAGTTTTCGTTGTCTCTGTTGAATTAGAATAGGGTTGTGTGCTTTTGCAGATTTCATTAGAAGATGGAAATTTTTAAAACTCTGACAAAACGTGGTGCTAATTTCTTATATTTTTAATGCAGCAGAGCTGAAAACCAAGAAGGTTTTGGTACAGCATGTAGAGACAGTAAGCAGCTTTGACACCAGTGTTGATGTTGTGAAATCATTTCTGGTGAGCATGGCTGCCTATCTCTCAATTTTGTTCAATAACTATTCTTGTTTTGTAAACTATTTACATAAGCATGTGTTCGGGAATGCCATGTAACTCAGCTTATAGTTTTAAGGCTTTGTGACCCCTCCACCCCTTCCCCCCTCCTCTCCACAATCTCCTTTCTCTCTCTATCTCAATTAGCAATTTCATTATTCCCATTGCAAGATTCTGTGTGTGATTCCCATGTCATCTACTACTAAGAGGTTGGTGAAAATGTCTCACTGTTTCTTTTAGGACCCTAATACTGGTGACGTGCGTGATCGTAATACTAAGATTGGAGAACGTAAATATGCTTTGAGAAAGGAGAATGTAAGCTATCTGTCTCCTCCTCTTGGTCTTACGCACTTTATTACATTTTTACTTTCTAATGTACTGTCCCTAAGATTACTTGAACTTATTCTTTCATTCCCATTGTAATAGCAGAAACAAGATCTGATTTTGTCTAAAGCCAGACAGAGGAAGGAGGTACGTGATATGGTATAAGTTAATTGTATTGTTAGTCCATCAAGTAGAGGATTTGTTATACCTTGTGTTTCCATTAATATGATTTGTTCTTTCATGTCTTAGAGAGATAACGATGCACTCAATTTTCATATAATGAGCTTATTTATTCAGTTGCCCCATTCATACTTTTTTTTTTTTTTGTTTATTGTCCATTGTTCTCATTTCAATTTTTTCTTGTGATAATAACCATTGTAAGACAATGAGTTCTAATGTGCTTCAAATTAGGATCAGGCAACTTTAAACTTTGCTAGTTTCTGTCAAGTTTTTTATCATTTGTATAGGCCACAATCTTGGATTTTTTTTTTTTTTTTTTTTTTTTTAGATTAAAAATTGTGTTTGTAAAGGATTATTTATGATAGATTGAAAATAAGAACTAATAACCACATATGGCTTATTGATGCCATTTTATTATGGTCCAAGTTTTAATTAATAGATAATCACGTAATACCAGATTGGTACACTTGTAATCCCAAACTAAGTTTCCCAGAGTGGACAAATTTTTTCCTTCATTTCTTTTTGTTTGGGTTTTTTGTTGTTTAAAGTAGCTATATGCTTGATGATGATGATATAAAAATGATCCTCCAGTGTCAAACTGAGTATTCTAATAAGGAGGGGAAGTGGGTGGAATCTGGGATAGAGTCAGATTCTTGCTTCTCTCCAGACTTCGCTGTCAAAACATTTCAAGAACATTCCTTTAGTGTGTTTTTACTTGATTGGTGACAGCTTTCTAGGATGCTGTTCTGTCTGTTGGTTTGGGTTTATTCATTGAGTTTTTGTGTTTCTTCTGATATTTTAGGTGTTTTATGAACTACTTATCTGTCCATGCTTCTTGTATTCTTTGTGTGTTTCTCATAATAAATCTGGTGTTCTTTTATGAAAAGTTGTGTACTTGGAAATTTGTTCTGCAATATTTTCTTGGCCACTATCTCATTTTGAGTCCTTTCTAATAGGTTGTAGTAAAAAATGCACGTTTTGAACAAATATGGAGGAGCAGAAGAGGAAACAAAGAAACATCACATGAGAATTTGCATGAAATGTGTCATTTCTATGATATTATACGTGTTGACGTTGCAGAAAAACCCAAGGAGTAAGTTATCTTTCTTTAGTCATGGAATTCTCTTGCCCTTTTGTACTTGAGTCTAGTTGAAAATGACACCCCCTATGATGGTAAATTTGTAATACAGTGAGATATCTTTGGAGGACCAGAAGCTTTTGAACAGTTACTTGCCTCTGCTGAGAGAGTTCATCCCATTTGCTGCTTCTGAGATCGAATCAGATTTATACGCTAACAGTTCCAAACAAGGTTGGTTTTACATTTAAATGGATTGCAACGTGTCAGTAGGTGCTGCCACCCATTTAATAGTGACATTAATCAGACCCAAGGTAGAAGAATTGGATACTTTATAGCATTTTATCCTTGGTCCATAGACCGCAGTCCGCACTCATAATTGCTTCTTGTAGAGTTGAATATTGATTTCGGCCTTTATATTAATACTAGTGGTGACCCGTAACTCATTATTTTCTTGTTACGGTATGATGATTTCTCTTATGTGTTTGTAGATTCGGAAGATGAGTATGTGTATGACTTGTATGCTGTGAAGGAGGAAAGTGATATGGCTATTGAAGAAACTTCAAACCCATTCCCCTTGTAAGTATCTTGTGTACTATACTTGTTAAGCTTCCACCTTAATCTCTTGCTAAACTGATCATAATAACTTCGGTACAGGGTCCAAGTTGATGATGAGGATTTCTATGATGGGCCTGATGAATCTGAATATGAATCTGATGATTCAAATGGTAATCTTAAACAATCTTTCATTTATCCTTTTTCTAGAAGTTCTTATTCTTGCTCTAACTGATTGGTGATTTTCAGCTGAAAACAACCCGCTAAATGATTATCCGGATGAGATATCTGAAGAAGAAGAAGAGGAATCAGCGAACAAAGACTCCGATGATGAATCAGAAGAAAATGAAAGTTCCAGCGACAAATCATCAGAACCTGAGGATTTAGATGAAAATGACTTTTTTGAAGATTATATACGATGAAAACAACGACGGCCATGACTTTGATCACCATGTTGATCCAAGTGATGAAGGTGAAGACCGGAATACGATCTTATAGGTGAAACTTTGGCATTCATGTATCTACTTTCTTCTTCGAACGAGGATTTGGTTACCAAGATCCTTTTACGTTGCGGTAATTTCTCCTGGACAAGTAAACCAATGTCGGAAGTTAATGATGGATTAGTGGTTAGATGTGAATATGAAGCCCTTTTGTACAGCCTAATAGTGATGGATCTATTAGTATGGCCATTGAAATCTTTCCTCTGTTATGTTATTGCAAGTCCATCGTTCCATTGTTTTGCCAGTGAGGGGATGTGAGATTTATGGACCAAATTATGGACGAGAGATTTTACAGTGTTACTGTATACTCGATTTATGCATCTGTGGACATATGAGTTGAAAATCTAAAAATGCTTTGGTTAAGATGAAATGAAGTTTATTTTATCAAGAAATTTGCATGATTACTTAGCTATGATTGAAGATAAAATGAGAGAATCGGGTAAGATAGTATGGACACGTGAATTGAAAATTTACATATGCTTTGATTAGAATATGCGATTACAAAACAGAAGCTCATGGCAAAAGAAGTAGATGAAGACTCAGGTAGACTTTGAAAGAAACTATAAGAAAAAAATATAAAGTATTTAAAGCTAACGGAAGATTTAGGACAAAATCTAACGCTATGACATTTTAGGATTTATCAGCTGTTGACACATGATGACTTAAGGCTTGGTTGTTGTATATTTTTTATACACATCAAGTCATGGTAAACCACCATTGCAAAGACCATTTGATACGTTGAAACTTACCAACAACGGGATGCGAAATAAAAAACCATCTAGAACGGGATGTCAGCGGTCCTGTTACATGGAGAAATTCTTAAGTAAAAGTCTTGCACCTGTCACTCATCCACCCAAAAAACAAACAGAAAAGTCCATCTTCAACGGATACTTAGGCGAGGGGCCGTACTCAAGAAATTTTCCGTTTCGGAAGTCATTCCTAAAGTCAAGGATTGTTTGCCTTCTTATTTTCGGTGTCCTCTCTTATTCTCTTGTTTATTGTTTTGTATGCTCACAGTTAAGGCACGTTAATATTTTATATTATTTTTTTTATAAAAATAATAAAATAAAAATAAATAGTAATATAAAATGTTTACCTAATTTAATCGTGATCACACAAATACAAACAGTAGAACACTGAAAAGCAGACAATCCTTGTCCATTCCTAAAACTTGTTATTTTCTGCGTCACCAGCTTTTTGACCTTTTGGTGTTTAAAAAAGTTCAAAAAAGTTCAAAAAAGTTCAAAAAGCCGGATGAAGAACCGGTCTCTCTTCACCCCAAATAAAGAAGAGAGTTAAACGAAAAATTTTCGGTACTATTTATTTTAATAAAAATTTATATTTTTACATAAAAAAATCAATTTTAATATTATTTATTTTAATCTTTATTTTACTATTTTAGTTAAAACTCGAAGTTTTAAACTTTTTTTCGTTAGTTTTCTGTAAATCAACCCAACCCGGTTTCCAGAATTCCCAAAAATCAATTGACTTCAAATGAATCCCTTGCTTCTGTAAAATGGCTGACATCGTTCCAGCGTCAGTCCCTGTTCATCCTACGAGCTCACAAATCCCGGTCGATCTCTTTGTCTCCAAGAAACATCCCGGCCTTCCACGTGGCGAATTGGGTTTCCTCGATTCCTCCGGCGAGACCGTTTACAAAGTCACCCATCAATCTCTGAAGACTTCTTCACACAAGCGCGTGCTGCTTGACGCCGCCGGAAATCCTCTGTTTTCTTTGCGCCGTAAAGATGTATGTCACCGCTCCGGCCCCTATTTGTTTCCCTAGAAAATAAATTTTCCCGGAAAAACTTCTCTTTGATTTTCTCTTTTGGGTTCTGATTCTTTTTTCTGGGATTTGTAGCATGGAAGCTGGGAAGGATACAAAGGGGGAGATAGTGAGGAGAAAGACTTGAAATTTAGAGTGAAGAGGACGAAAAAGAAGCTCACCAGAACTGAGTTGGAAGTGTTTCTTGTTGGTGAGAACTCGTCAGATTCAGCCGATTTCAAAGTGAAGGGCTTTCCTTTCCAGAAATCTTGCACCATCTACAGAGCCAATGAGATAGTTGCTCAGGTATGATTTTCTTTTATGTTGTGTGGATTTTGAATTCATTGCTAGTGTTGAAATTTGTGTGTTTAGAATGGCCAAAAGTCCTTATGGGTAGCCAAAATTGCTTCCTGTAAAAGCGCTTATGAGCGAAATGGTTTCTTGTGAAGCATTTTCAAAAGGGCCATAGCAAACCAGGGATTGTTTTATTTGACAAAGTTCAGTTAAGTTAAGCAGTTGTATGAGTTGCTTGCATATGATTATTGGGAGGAGGGAATTTGATTGCAAAACTTGATAAACCTTCTATTTCTGTGATTCTAAGTCCTAACCAAAAATACGTTTTTGAAGACTGTTGCCTTAAAGTTTATTGAGAAATATACGCAAATGGAACTAGTTACAAACTTTTAAGCGAAAATGGAACCTGGGGAGGGGGCACTCAACTGCGATTATATACAGTTTATGGGCTTATTGTAGAATGAAAGTTCAATCTCAGGACGGTTATATACAAGCCTTTCACATGTACTTTACCTCCAGTTCTATCTGTGTGTTATTGGAATTTGTAACTGGTTCCATTTGTATGTTTCTAAATTTTGAGTAGCACAGCTATTGGCCGTATAGAAAGAGTGTTGTTGTCTACATTTCGGTGTGGTAGTGTCATCATATAGAAATGGGGAAGTTGAGTAATGGGATCATTGCTACGGTTGAGTACTTGGAAAGTTGATTTATCAATGCAGTCTATCCTCGGATCTGCATCTTTCTTTTGAATTTAAATGCTTTTGCATAGCACGGTGATATGAACAAGTTCTGAGATCTCAAATGTGTGGTTCTGTGTATGAAGATTTGAGCAACGTCTTTTGTCACTTGACCATCATACAGGAGCGTTGTTGTAACTTGTTCATGAAAGGTCGTGTGTAATTATCTGATTCGCAAATAGCATTTGCAACGGAAGTTCCTAGATTATATCGTTTTTGAACTTTGCAATTTTGCGATCTAGTAGTGCAATAATTGAATCTTAGAAGTTTGTTCAAGGTGCTGTTTCTTGGTTATGAGATATAGTCTGAATTCTTTCGTTATGTCTTGTTGCAGACGAGTCTTATGTACAAATTGCACCAGCTTATGCCAAAGAGAGGAAAATTTCGACTAACTATATTTCCTGGACCCGTGGATCATGCTTTGGTAGCGGCCTTGATTGTAATATTTCTTGATTGATCACGGATTATAGAAGAACTGGAATCCAACATTTTCAAAATTATCAACGCAACAGTGCTACAACACAAACCAACAGGGGCAGAACCAACGAGATGCGAAGACATGAAGTAGTTAAAGCCCTCGATACTTATAAACAGACTGGTTGGTCCGTACGTTATGAGCTCTGCAACCATTTTTCCCGTTCACGAGTTCGATTATAATTCGTTGTCAGCTGTTAGGCGCGGTATGGTGTACTTCAGCATTACTTGTTAAAGATCAATGATCAAGTAGTTTATGTTTTCGCTTTTCTTTCAAAGAAATGTGGTCTTCATTTGCAAAGGGTTGAAACTGGCTCGGATTTTCCAGTTACTTGTCTGAGTTGTGAACTTGCATGTTTCAAGTTGAGTAGCGTAGCAGCTCCAATCACAAGCCGAAATGGGCGTAAAATATCGCATTGAGCCGTGACCTGGAAAAAATGGCAACAAGTTAGGAAGAGGAAGAACAAATAAGCCGATAAATAAGGTTACTGACTAGCTCTTGGTTTAATGATACTTCTCTTTTTCGGAAGATTTCTCAGATTTGAATGTCCCTTCAATAATAAAAAACAAGTCGGTAAAGAAGGTTTCTTTCACAACAGTAATTTATTTTTCGAACCCTAAACCCTTAAGAATTTGGGTCCCCAAAAAACCAGTTGCTAGAATTGAGCGCGAACTTGGCGCAAAGAAAATGTTGCATGAAATCAAAGGGGTATTTTTGACAGTTAGACAATTAAACTGTGGCAAATACATAAACCGTTTATTTAGTTAACCGTGTATAATATTTCAAACCGCCTAAACGACTATTTTTAATTAATTTTTTGTAAAAGTAACGTTTAAAAAGTAATTTATAATAATCTGCAGTAAAAATATATGTGAACTGGCCCCGAAGAATTTTGAGTACAGTTGTGAGCATTCGATTGTACTAACTGCAATGTGTTGCTGGTATAAGTGTCGGTGTTTGGCTTTTGATTGTGATCAGTTGCTGACTTGTAAACTTTGGTTCGGAGAATGTGAATTCTACGTACTGAGCGCCCTTCATGCCGGGTGGAGCCGAGTTCTGAATTTTTGATTGCTACGTCCTTGTTGTGTAATCAGGATCTTGGTTTTTGTCTAACCCGATAGGTGGCTTTTGAGATTGCACATGCTTATGGATTTGTAAGTAAGAGGTCTCAGATTCGATTCTCGTTAAAGGCGAATTTGAACCGCATTATTACTAGTTTATTGTAAGGCTAAACTCATTATCTCTCCGTTAGTGTAGATAATATTGTTTGTTCAAAGAAAAATAAAATTACGAATTGTGACCCGAATCTTGCTTCACCTAAGATGTAAGAGCAGTGTACAAAGGTTTGCAAATTCAAAGTAATTAATGAGCTACTTTGGATGCTATCCCTAGCTACTTCCAAACTCGCAATTTTCCCAATTGAAATTGCCAATATTGCTCAAAAGAGGTATTTTTATGTCCAGTTGGAGCAAACACACTCGTCATCTGATTGTGAACCGATCAATTTATTAAGACGAGTAGGAATGTCTTCCGTCTACACACCGAGAAAGGTTACTAGTTTCTCAAAAATACATCTGAAAATGCAATGAAATGAATAGAGTTGAGTTCAACATCGAAACTACAAAATGTGAACTGATCTACATATGATACAACGTCTTCAGACACTTCTCCGATCACGCGAGAAGTTCAATGATCACGAGCACAAACTCGATCGAAAACATATTATGATTGAATAAGATCAAAATCCAAGGGGCCGGGAGGCGAAAAAAGCAGCTCTGCCAGTTTTGTGTCTTCTGTAACTGCTGTGATACAAAAATCATTTTCGCTTGTCACCTTACCGAAGGAACAACCATTTCCCCGCTTCAAAGGAACTAACTATCTGCCCGCATCAAAGGAAGTAGCCATCTCATTTCTGCTCCATTTCCGTTCGACAAGTAGTATACTTTCTTCCAGTTTTCCTCTGTGAATGCTTCACGGCGAATAAGCCGCTGTCTGCCATAGAAAACAGTAGGGAAGGCTGAGAATGTGAAATGTTTGCAGGCCAAAGGCATCACGAAAGCTTTAGACATGAAAGGATGCCCCCGACGAGTTTAAGCATCCAAAAAAACACTGACCCAAAGACTCTAATGCATTACCATTATGGGGCACCAAACCATGTCTTACACCATTAAATTTTTTTGTCTTTCACTAATTTCGACCGACATTTGCATGACCCGAGGTAAAACAAATTAAACCGGAGTATATAAGCAGTCTAACATACAATCATGCAATAGATATGCGATCAGCAAGACTATCGCATGGCAAGTATTAACTAGCATACCTAAGGTAGTAATGACAAACAGCGGCTGCTTCATCTAAAGTGTAGCGGGATAGGTTGACGCGAGCATCTACGGGCACATCTGGCAAGTCTTGACGAAGCTTTCCTACTGCCGTTGAATGTGAAAACGCGCCAACCATCATGTCATCATTTCGCATAGATCTAAAAGCCTTCACCTGGAAGAATTTTACCATGTATGTGCACATCAGTTTCCGATATACAACATATTGCAGACAAACCACAACTTACTACCAACTAGTACACCCAAACTTGATTGCATAAGTGAAATAATCAAATAAGAACCACATCTGAAGGACAACAAGATCATTTGAAGCTGTAATACAAAACCTAGAAAAACATAGATGAATGGACATTCTGATGGTCCATACAGATTAAGATTACAATTTACAAGTATACACCAGCACAACATTATTTCAACCATACATAGGGGACCTACCGTAGCGAGTTCTTTAGCATGTATTGGTCGAGTAGAACGAACAGTTACTGGCTCTTCATACTCACTGAACGTAAACCAGTTATTATACTGCAGATAATGAGCACAAAAATATAGCAAAAGTTTACAACACAGCTCTGGAAAAAAAATTCATCCAATAAATTAAAATATCAATTATCTAGTGATTGGTCACACCTGATCAATTGCAATAAGCACGGGGATATTTTTCACAAGAGATAATTCCTTCCTCAATCGAACTACTACTCCAACAGCTGCATGAGTGTGCCTGATTCCCGAGTTAACTAGGTCATATAGAGTTGAACCTTCAGGCATTGCCATGGAATCAGTTCCATCTCTCATCCATCCAACACCAGCACCCTCTCCCAAAGGAATAGGATCGAGTATTTGGCATGACAATTGTTTTAAATGGGATTCGTTAAACTTCAGGAAATCCTGGAATAAAATGACACATTAGATGAACATAAAGCCATGGAGATGATCAAAAGCTGAAATCCAAGAACTGCATAATGAACAGAGAACCATCACTTACGTCACATTAATTCAAAATTTCAAACATAAACCATTATAATCATTGCTTTTAGGAATGATCACTGATACAGAAAAAGTTTATGCACTATTTTCAATTGTCAAAGATTAATTCCTTCAAAGGTAAACCTACATAGATTACCGATCCTGTATCAGTTAATAGCATGCTGTAATAAAGAAAATAAAAAAGCTCCACAATCTTACGTTCAGAATATTTTCAGCCTGAACAGGTGTGTCCCAAAGACCTGTTTGTGGGTTTTTATAGAAAAAGCCTCCATGAGTCCATTCCCTGCCTCTCGGGACGTATAAAACCAACCAGCCTTCCTCACGAGCCCATTGAACTAACATTGCAAGAGTAATACTCTTTCCACAGCTTACGGGACCGTCCAAGACAATCTGCTTTTGAGCTTTTGTACCTGAAAAGGCACACATGGATAAGGCCATCTTACATGTGACCCATCATTCGACATGTACACGAAACTAAATATGCATTACAGCATCGATTGTCTACAAAGGGATATAAAAATATACAAAAAGCATAACGAGGCCTTATGAGATTAAGAAATCAAAAGAATTTATACAATTTTCTAGCTTCCTAGTCTTCAAATCCAGTGATTAACAATTTTCTAGCATAATGACCCCCTCGGAAATCTATGGTTATCAAAACCGGAACTTTAAAGTCGAGTTTGATCATACTGTGCTACAACCAACGATGATCATTTTCAACCGTGCCGAATGACAACATTCGTCCCAAACTTTACCAGCTCTAAACAAGCAAAGCATCAATCAAATGAAAACCAATGGAACACAAAGCACATACCTTTGCTGCTAGCCGAGTCCAATGGCGGGTCCACAATCCTTCGAAAATTGTCACGAAGATCGAGAAAGCTCTGGCGGACGAGCACCGCGCTCTGCATTGCATCCTCGAACTCCTTCACCATCCCCAATGGCAGCCCCTCGGGCAAAACATTGTTCAATTCCTCCATCCTTCAAATAAAAAAAATATCATATCCCAATAAATACATACACACACAGATACAGAACTACATCGGTTTCGTTACGGATTTCGATCAGGGTTTAGGGTTTTACTTGAGCTTGTAGTAGGAGCAGGTGTCCTTGCGGCTGAGCTGAGAGAGTGTCGGAGTGGAAGTGAACAGAGGACGGCCGTTGGGTCCCACATCAAGCGACGGGTCCCTCTCGTCCGCTTGGAGCTGGCGTGCGCGGGAATTTCGACCGGAGAGAGCCGCGTCGGTCTCCGATACGTCGTCGCCGGCGGTAGCTGAGGGGTCGTTTTTGGATTTGCCCGTCTTCTTCGCCTTCTTGGCCATGGTATCCTTGGACGTCGAGTAGCTCATCGTCGCCGTCACCCTCCAAGGGTCGGGTCTTGGGCCGCCCGACCCGGCTGCCCTTCGGAGAATGGTCAGAAACATTTCGCTGTTCTCAAAGGTTTTGCGAGGTTTATGGGAGGAGGAGACGGCGGAACTTTGTAGCTACTGAGAAATTGGCTCAACCAGGTGGTGGGTAAATTTGTAATTTTATTGATAGTTGGGCCTAAATCTGTTTGGTTTCAAAAATGAGCCTGATAGTCGGATTTTGGGCCCAATTGTTTTGGTTCTGCTGGGTTTCATTTCTTCCAAATATGTGGGTTTGGGAGTATAAACCCACCAAAGCAGAAGAAAAATGCCTAAGCCATGGCGGTGAATGACAATATTGAACACAAAATGAAATGGATAGAAGTGAAAGACTCTAATTAGCAAGACAATCCACCATTGCCAACACTTTAGTACGGGAGAAACTTTCTTGCACCCAATGCACAATCTTGACAATATCACTCGTGTAATAACGCTTCCTGCATGTTCAAAAAGTGAACTAATGGTTCAACAAACGCTTGTTACGTAGTTAATTGGTGACAACTAAAAATTTCTCTTTTAATAGAGATAACTTTGCTATTGT